CCGAGGGCAGGGGGAAATGGATAAGCGCAAGAACGGAGACAATGCGGAAAATTGTAAGACACTAAAATTGGCTAAAAGGACTCAACAGCCAACAGGCGAGTATGTTGATGCTGCCCTATCACCACCCCTTACTTCCACCCCTTTCCCCCCCCACTTTCTCCAGTGTTTGAGGGAAGGAACTCATAAAAGTGAGCAACAAATTTCATTGTTTATGGCTACATGTGTGTGTGTCTCCGCCATCTCCTTTAGTTTTCCTCTTTGTGTTGGCAATTTGCTTTGGCATAATGCTGGGCAATTTTGTGTGAGGCCTCCCTCCCCCCCCTCGACACTTATTCCCCTTCGTCCTTCTGCTGCGCATAAATAAAAATTAGTTTCACTTTCATCTGAAACTTTCACCGAATTCCGTCAGCGAATTTCGGGGATTTCAATGGCGAAAAACGATTTGAACTTGGGCTTTAATTTAAAATTAAAAAAAAACAAACAAAATAGTAGGATTATAGTGGTGTTATCCAAATGTGTAAAGAAAACATTTAAATTTAGCTCAGCTTAAATATAATCAGGCGGCTTAAAAATCAAACAGATTAAATTCTGAAAACTATAAAAATATTGTATAAGCTACCCCATGAAAATGTACCAAAATCTCTGTTTGCCTCTCTTTTTTTTACCACCAAACATATTCCTAACATGGTTTATTAGAATTTCAGTTTTATTAATATTTTTTAGGGGGTCGGGGAGAACCAGCAAAGCGTGAAATTAAATTTGACTTGCCCCGATATCATTCTCAGTCAAATTTTCATAGTTTTCCCCGCGTGGCTTTTCGGTTTTGCTGGTTTTTTTGTAATAATATTTTTTGGTTACATTTTTCTGCCCGTTATTTTATGTTCCCTTTTCGGCTGCACGCAAAGGAAAACTGGGAAAAGGAAAAGCGAGTAAGGGAAGGCGAAGCGTAACGAACGGGTTTATCCATGGTCATGGATTTTTACTAGGCACTAAAATTATATTTTCATTGTTATGTAGTGGGGTCGAAGCCAGCCCAATCGGGACTCCCATTCCCCAGTAGTTTTTCCCATTTTCCAACTGAAGGAAAACATTTTTGGGGAAATCATTTGTCCCCAGGCGAATGTTGCCGGTTTGAAAGGCCGAAGGCAACTGAAGACGAATGCCAAAGGACCCCACTTCGGATGTCCAGTGAAATGTGGTGAAGTTGTGCCCAGTCGTGGTGAGTTTTGTCAGTGAATAGAGAGAGAGAGAGAGTGAATCAACAGGTGAACACTGGAAGTCCTGGAAAGAAAAGCAGCTTAAATTGCAGACAAATGTAAGGACTCTTATGAATTAAATTAAACAAACGTATAAAAATACATAATTAAGTGACAATATTTCAAAAATTCTTTTTAATAATATATTTTTGGTGTAGTTAAGTTAAGTGTCTGTTTGCTTTGTTTGTTTTTAAAAATTAAAAAAAAAAAAAATTTCAGCAAGTAAAAATTGTTTAAAAACTTATAGACTTTTGCTTATTATTATAATTAATGTTTCCTTTTGTTGTACAAATTAAGGAAGATACTATAAGCCTGCTTCTAATTCGCATGTTTTAACATATATAATTACAACATTTAATTTTCAAACATGGAATAATGGTACAGCCTTAATTAAGTCGAACTCTATGTCTATGTGGTAAATATTAAAAAAAATTATAGAAATATCATTATATTTTTGCAACCCCTGACCGAATTGCCTTATTATTTACTCTATTAAAAGCAATTGGCCGAATGTGAATTTGTATTGCCAACTCGAGGAATTTTCCCAGCTCTGTCCATATTTCATTTAACAAAAATGTGGCAAATGGATGAAAAGCGACATAAAAAAAAATAAACTAAGGAGGGAGAACTTTTAGTTCGGCAATCAAATTGAAATCTAACGAAAAGAGTGCAACAAAAAGTTGCAATTTAATTTATACTTTTTTTTGTTGCCGAATTTGGCACACATTTTTTTGCTATTGTTGGAAAATTAATATATTTTAAATATGCAGGAACATTGAGGAATAAACTTTCGTGGCGACAGAGGGGGCCATGTGTATCGGAAGCAAAAACAATTATATGAAAAGGCCGACAAAATACTTTAACAAATACCAAAAACCGACATTTTACCAACTGCATATTACGATATGCATATTTCATTTATGCCCAAAACAAATGCACAAATACAACTGCAAAATGCAAGGCCCACAGGGATCTGAACAAATTCAAAATGATGGTTGCCGATTCTCTGAAAAGGATAAAGGAAGCTCCGAAATTGGTAAACTTAAATCGCATAAATTTTTAACTTCAATTTGGCTAAAATATTTTTCCAATTCATTTATGATTGAATTTCCAATATTCCTGATCTCGTTATATATTTATTTTGTGAATAAAAATTGGATAAAAGTCATTTGCAAAGAAAGTTTGTTTGTACCTAAAATGTTTAAAAGTTCAAGTAGTTTTAGTAGTTTTTATTTTATTTAGTATTTTTTGGACAAGACAATATGGCATTGGTTTATTGATTAGTCATATTTTGTTTTCGTTTATAAAAAAAAATATTTGAATATTTTGTGTTTATTCTAACTACATTGTCGAATCCATTTGTCTGCTAAACTAATTCCAAAAACTATCCATTGTTCCTGTAAATATCTGCTAAGCCCAGTTACCCATTCGCCCAGATGGGCGTGGCATGTGGGCGGTGGTCGTAAGCTCATTGCATCTGCATCTGTCGGCATTTCTGCATTTAATGCCATAAAAGTTTATCTGCAAATGTGTCGCTGGGTGAGGAGATTGTTTCTTTTATTTGCTGAATTTTAATTAAATAAAAAAATTTTGTTTACGCACAGGCAGGAGGACTTAATTGAGACCGTTTTGTGTAATTTGGCTCTCGTTTACAATTATCCAATTCAACTTGAGTCTACACTTTACTTAATTACTCACACAAAGAAGTGAAATAAATGAGAAATTGGTGCAGGACTTTATTCACAATTTATGGAAGAGCTTAAAATGGATAACAAATTTACATTTATTACGTTTTTTACGCTGATTTTCGTGTATTCTGATGTCCTGTTATTTGTTAAGGTAAGGGGGTATATTAGGCTAGTATATAAGCAGCTAAAATTGTTGTACTGTTTACAAAACGTTTCAAAATCATAAAAACTATCCAAATTAAGTTCAATTTTTGAAATTATCACTACATTATGGTTTTTGTTCAATAGGTATTTGTCAGGTCACGACCCTTTAAGTTTACCTTTTCGACCAGCTTTGTTTGAATGAATTTCGGTGAATTTTTCCCATTTCGGTTCCGGTTTTTAAATGTCGGTGCCCAAACTTACATTGCGAACGCATCCGGAGTGAAAATATTTTTATTTTATTTAATTTCAGCTGTTTGCTTTTTGGTCTCGTTTTGGCTGCTGCTGCTGCTGCTATTGTGATAAACATATCAAAAAAATGTTTAGTTTTATCCAAAAGGTAAAGTGCAAAAAATGTGTCGCTTTTTAAGCATTTCCTTTTTATTTTTGCACTATCATAAAAATGAAGGCAATTAAAAGAGGGGGCTCTTTGTCTCTGTGTTTGATGGTGTTATCGCCATTGTTGTTATTGTCGTGGCTCCTGACAAAACGTTTCAATTAGTGCGATTATTGCATAAACAACAGAAGCAACAAAAGCGGCTAAAAAATCATTGCTGTCGCTTACAATTTAAAAAACAAATTGCTGGTTGGCTGGTTTCTTTCTTTATAAATTGCTGGACGTTTTTGTAAGTGTTTTGTTGACTATTCGCTGGGCGTTTATTTTATTTCGATTTGTTTGTTGCCCAGCTAAAACTATTTTTTTGATAGGCCTTTTAGAACAATCGTTTGGTTTTGGCTCCATGACTTTAATGGCTCTTTAAAATGGATTCTTGGCCTGCGCAAGCTGTGGTTCTAAGTCGAGAAAAATTCCGTGTATCTCAGACTTCGAGCTCAGACTTTCTGATCTCCGGCCAAGGCCCATGGTGCGGTTGTCCATTACCCAGGTGTTATGCAATGCCAGCAGCATTTAGCCGCGTCAGCTGAGCTCTTAACGTGGCTCTCTGTTGTTTTTGCCATATTGTTGTTGTTATTGCTTTGCCCCGCAGCATTTGCAGCTTGTGCCGTTTACAGCGTTTACTTTACAGCTCCGAGCGGGCAGCGCTGCCTCTGCCGCCGCCGCTGCATCTGTCGACGTCGACGTCGTCGTCTGTTTGACTGCACTTCTCAAGCCTGACTTGGCACAGTGGTTGCTGTTGGACAGAAAGTGGTTAAAATATTTTTAATCATTAAGTTATTTATTACCTTACAAATGTATCTTGCTAACACTTTCTTAATAATGATGCTTCTGACATAATTATTGCGATTTCGGTACTAATTATTTGCTTTTAAAAGCATGATTTTATTCATGTTTGATCTAACAGAATTTTTCTAAAGTAATTTTATGAGCTTGTAAATAAAACTAAAGGCTTCACAAATGTATTAAATAGTTAAATAAACTTATTCTTAACTGTTTTACTTAATGAGTTAATGTAATCCCTTATTTTGCAAACTTTATCTAACTCCAAATATTACAAAAATATGTATTACGTTTTAATTCATGTAATATTTATTAAATAACCATTAACTAGCTTAAAATGTATAGTTATCCTAGCTAAATGCTTTAAATGGACTTTATGGTTTGAAAAGAAAATGGTTTGTCAAACTTTTGGATAAATAAGCCTTCGAAAATAAGTTCCTGAAGTAATTACACTATCAAATGATAGCTATATATTGTTATTTCTACTATGTATGAACTCTGGGCTGTGTTCACTGTGCCGGCGCCTCGGTTTGGTTCAGGTTTTGGGCTCCGTACCGCCTCGTTTGGCTCTTTGAAACGGCCTCTGCCGCCGTCGACTGCGACGTCAGTTTCATGCTTTTCTGTAGTGCTTTTGAGGCTGCATAAAGTTTAAACAATTTGGCCGCTGCTCGCGTTTAGTTCTCTTTCGCGTGCGCCAAAACCAAGTAACCAAGTTAACAAGTTGCCGGCCGAAATAAATTTCAGTTTCTGTTTCAGTTTCAGTTGCAGCTTCAGTTTCGATTTTGTTTTCAAACTCAATTTAGTTTCGGTTTCGGTTTCGATTTCGATTGCCCTCAACTCGAGTGTTATAGATCTATTTTGAAGTGCTCGATTGATTGGCCGATTGATTAGCGGGCCACGTGAAAGTGAGTTTCATTGTTTGTTTTCCCATTTTTTTGTTGTATTTTTTCGTTATTTTTGCCGCTGTGCTGCATTCCAAGTTACAAATATTTTTTGGAAATATTTTTTGGCTGCGTGAGTTTGGCAAGCGACGCAAACATTAACCCACGACTGACCTCTGCCTTTTAACGCGTGTGTTGGGCAAGGATTTTAACGAGTGTGTGATGAAAAGGCATGCGAAAAAGTGTGTAATGGAAATTGGTAAATTTGAAAACAAAGTACACACCATATTGGCTCTCAAAACTTGACATAATAAAATATTTGGATAGCTCAAGTGTTTTTTTGTGAGTGTGTTCTGTGATAAATTTAAGGAATGCCTTGTGAACTTTTTTTTTAGAAATATTGTATTGTATTTATTACAAAGTTTTTTTGAATGATTTATGCTCAATTTTTTCCACTTTGCTTATTCGTATTATGTGTTGTGTACCTAAATGGAATCCTTGAAATTCCGAAAAAAGAAACTTACTGTATTTAACCGAGTTAAAATTGATTTGTCACACCTTAAGTGAGTGAAATTTAAATAAATTCAAAAAGGCTACAATAACCTGCATTCATCAGCAGTTTTTCAATAAATGCAACGCATTAATTTTGCCTCTATTAACCACTTAAAGCCGGTTTCCCTTGCTCCAGTTTTGGGTCTCATGGAGTTCGACAGGTGAACATCGCACATCGTCCAGATAACAAGATAAAGTCAACGAATCCCACGAAATCTTCAACGGCCTTGAAAAGCTCAAAAGCCGAAAGATCAACAAAAGCCAAATTCCATAAAAAAGCGAATAAATAAAAAAATGGTTGGGGCTGAATTTTTGGTGAATTTTAAAATCGGTTTTGCTGGGGTTTCATGTTTTGAAGGCAGTGGAAGGCAGCGACGCATGCGCAGCGACGTGTAAACAATAGTGACCCAATTGCCTCATCTTGGGGCGCCCCCTGCGGTAATTTGCTGGCTGCATCGGCAAACTGCAGCTGGTTATGCAACTTGCGAGGGAGATTAACATATAGTGGCGAATATGTGCAATTTGTGCAAATTGATAGGCCCCACATCGGGCCTCGGAAAATGGGGAGGAAAAACAGGGGGCTTTTCCAGTTACACAGATTGAGGAAATGTTGCAGTGGGTAAAAATCTGCGTGCCACATGAGTCGGGAAAATTCCCGAAGCTAAAAAGAAATCAATCCAATTTTATTACACTACGACGGAAAAAAAAGATTTGAAAAATTGTTTTGTATTAGTAACTGAAAAATATGATAGTTAAAATAAAAGTTTAATATCTTCAGTATCTTAATTAAATGGTTTCAATTAAGTAAAACTATATCAGTACCAATAGCTACAGTTGTTTTAAGCCAATACGTCATATATCTTTATTTGTGTGTTGAGTCAAAACGGATGTGAAAAATTTCCCAACAATTCCCCAAACACCCGAAAAATACCATCACCTTCATGTGCGAATTAATCATACTTTCGAGAAACGGACAGCAACTCCCCCAAAAGGCCAACAAAAAAATTCAATTGGCTCGGTGACCAATTGAATGTTAATCAAAAGCCAACTTCTCTGGGCCAAAAAGCGAAGAAACAACTCGGCCCTCGCCCATCAATTACCACCTGTCAATGTCGACGCATCGCTGGCTGGCTGCTTTTCTTACCGGTTTCCATTTGCGGCTAAAAGCGACACGACAATTGGCCGAAAGAATCCAACCGAAATGATCAGAGAAATCCGCCGGAGTTTGGCAAGAGCTGCGGGTGACCTTGGGGCGGGGGAATGGGGGTTTGTCGCTGGGTTTTTGGTATGAAAGTCAAGGTCGGGCTTTGCTTGATAGTTGTTTCATGATTAGCATTTGCCATTGTCTTTTTTTTTGTTTTTTTTTCAATTCCACTTTGAGGGCTTATTTTTATTGCTTATTGTTTTGTTTTTTTAAGCGCATTTTATGAGTGTCATCGGCGTGGAGGCAGATACAAATTGATTAGCCAAGGGAAATATTTATACTGACAAATAAAAACGTTTAACAATAATTGAAGGTGTGGACGCAGATTGCAGCTATAAATAATATTATTTTTTTCACGATTTTTCTAAGCGAGAATATGTTGTAAGAGTATTGATATTTATTTGTGTTAATAAATATAAATCAAAATTTAAAAGCAGTTGCGAGGGATTTCTATGAATTTAAATAATTTATTTTTAATATTGCAATTGTAGAATCGACATACATGATTTTCTAAATATTATGTATAAATATTGGTACAGTAACTTACCAATAACACAATTTTTCTGATACGACTTAAAACTCAGCTTAGTCCCAAGTTTGTTTTTCTTGATAAGCAGCCAAAAATTTGTATGAAAGAAAACACTTTTCCCGGCAACCAAGGCAAGACGTGGCCAAGCTTTATTAAGTGCATAACTTGACTGGGAATCTCAACTAATTTTGGTTTTCATTTGCTCGCCTTTTGGCATCTCCTTGCGCTCGTTTATCGCCCATTTCGAGTGTGGGAATCCGGCAGATGCAGTAGAAATATCGTAGAGCGATATAAAATCGGTAGACCAACAAATGTGTTTATGCAGTTGCATCGAAAAATTAAGAGCATCCGCAGAGTGCGGGGGGAGCAGGGGTGTGGATTAAAATATATACGCCACAGAACGTATATTTTTTTTTTGCGGAGGATAACTTAAAGTGCTGTGCTGTGTGCCCCGCCCGATCCCCAAAACATGGCCATATCAATATGTATGTTTTATTTATTGACTTGCTGGGCAACGGGGAATGCCTCGCTGCAGGATGCCGCTTCTTGACAGTTGGCACGTAGCCGGGCCAAGACGATGGGGCGTATACGTATTATGAGTTATGAGCTCGCCTCGACGATCACGTATACGCCCCCTATGGCTGGCTAGGCACCCCGCCGCCCTGCTCCCTTCTGCCACTTAAAATAATGTTGATGCCAAACAATTAAATATAAGGCCCCCCGATTGCGAATTTAATTACAACTGTAAACAGTTTTTCTCTAAACTCCCTTTTTTTCACCCACCCCGAAAGCAAACAAAAAAAACAAAACCAAACAGTTTTGAATGCCATATTTTGTATTTTCCCGTTGTTTTCCTTATTTTTTTTAGCCAGCCATTAGCAGAGGAAAAACTAAAGAGAAAATTGGCGGAAAAAAGGGTTCGGGCGGTGAAACACTACGCGCTGAGAAAAGCAATTTTCCGGTTGAGTTTACAAATGGCGGGCGCGGCCAGCGCTGAAAATAAATGACATATCACAGAGTCTGGTCACCTTTATGCGATGTCCAAAGTAAACACATGAAAGCAATGCGAGAAGGGGGTGTGCGAAAAGGGGGTGTGCGAGAAGGGGTAGAGGAATGGTGTATCCTTGTTTGTTTGTTTGCCTCCGTGTGGACTCCTTAGTTATGCATGTGTGTGCGGGCGTGTGTTGTGTGTGTATTCGGGTGAATGCGGTCCTGTTTTGGTGCTGGCCTGCGGTTTACTCACTCGGTCTTCTCGGAATTCAGCTGAAGCCCTATTTAGCTCTGATTATATTAAATGGAATCAAGATTCCGATTTTCGTGGGGCTTCTGTTGGTAGCTTGAGTATTAAGCTAGATTACAATTTAATTTTCGTTCAGTTAACATTAGAAACGAAGACTATTGCAAAGGTATTTTCATAGTAGTTTCACTTATAATTTATACAAGCATGTGGATGATTTTAATAATTACATATGAAAGGACTTAAGCTAATTTTCCCTGCCTCGGAGTATGAAATGCATAAAGAAATTCGTTATGGATCCCGAAATTTCCCTACCTATTTAACGCTTGCCTGCCCCCTTTGTTTATATTTTTTCAGGACCCATTTGCCCTCCCTTCTGGATATCAATAAATGGTTGCCATTCATTTTCAGGCAACTTTTGTGGCCCTGGTAGTTGGTGTTGTTTACACGAATACACTTACACCGAAATATACACACCCACAGACAGACACACATTCCCGAGGACAGTTATGAATGGCAATCCATTCGCTTAATGGAATTTCGTGTTGTTTAACTTTTACGTGGCTCCCAAGTCAAGAGGGAAGGAGTGTGTGTGTGTGTGTGTGGGGGGGGTTAACATATGTGTGTGTGTGTCCTTGGGTCAGCTGGGGTTGAACCACCCACCCCCTTATCTGAATCATCATCGTAAAGCTTTATTAGCATTTATTATGCAAGACTTTGCCTCGGTCAAGTTTGTGTCTCTGTTTTAGTTTTATGATCGCTTCCGACTCGACACCTAACCTCCCCCTTAACCCCCTTGCACTCTTAACCCCTGTTGGCCAGGTTTTAATTTCAATAAACGCACATTTTATGACTGCTCAGGTTTATGGCCACGTTGGATTTATTTATTTTTCATTACATTATGCCAAGTGCGGGGGCCAATCGTCAAAACTCAACGGGTTGAATCAATTGAAGGAGGGTTGTAATGGGTGTAATGGGTTAAGGGGTTGATGGGGAGGGGGAGGGGGGTGCCCAAACAGAAGGGTTTGCTTCGTGTGTGTAATCAACAAAAATTGCCAAAATGTAACTCGATAATTTCGCTCACACACAGCAATGCACACGAAACCAAAACAGAAATCGAAACTCTGAAACCGAAACTGAAATTGCCAAAATGGAAATCGAATTGCAGCACGGAAAACTCTGTATTCTGGTTGGCAATGGGGGAAACTGGGAAATCGGGGGGAAAGGGATTGGGGGCAAATGCATTTTCAGGTGGACAAATGTGGCAATGTGTGCGTAGTCGAGCGCCAGTGTGCAGCAGTGACAAATGTTGATAAGATGCCATCGATTCGCATAATTTATGCTGCCACCATGGCACAACAGTGGGCTGCAAAAGTATGCCTACGGCCAAGATGAACAGTTTGTAGTTTAACAACATCATTTACTTCGAATCTTCAAATATACCTCAAAAGGTTGTTCAATAAACATCCCATTAAAAGGTTTTGGGAAACTTTGCTTTTAAA